AAAACAAACCAAGGCTTTTGCATGAAAAAAAAAAAAAAAAATTGTATTAACTTGAAATCTTTACAACCCACTTGAATTAAACATGACATTAGATAGCAATAGCACTAGACTGTGAAATTCTAAATTCATTAAACTATAAAATATTTTAACATTTAAACAAAATAGAAAACTCAGAAAAACTCATTAAAAAACAAAAGAAAATACAATCTAAACTTTTCTAAAGACAGTCAGTTCTCCTCAGAGATACATTCATATAAACCTCCACCCCCAACTGTATTGCGATTCGTTTACAATCTCAACCGACTCGATTTGTCACGTATTTGTATGGATTTTCATCCGTCTCAGGGTGCATCATTACATCCCTATTTATACTGTGAAGTAACTTCAAGCTTCCTTCCTGCCCCTACCAAATGTTCTAATTTCACCTCATCATGAATGACATATACCATATGAGATCATCGAACTAAGAAAAACTCACCCTCTGGTGTCATACTTATTTTTTCTTATTTAATTGCCTCCTCCATGAAAATTCTCAAAGGTACAGAATTGTTAGAGCTGATAAGTCCCAATTCTGCAAATCAATACTTCTCTCTCAGTCCCCAAACACATCTCTAAGGTCACAGAATTGGATTTCCACCCGACATAGAGAAGTGGAGCATCTAATAAAGGCCTGTACCAGAATTTCCTCCCACCAAAACCCTTTGAGATCCTGATGGCACTAACTGCATGCGTGGAGTTGCGAGCCGATAGATATTTGAACTCTGTCTGGGGGCACTAGTTACAAAACCACGATTCATCTTGATTATGGCTCTTGAGGATGTGCACAGTTGAGCACTGTAATTGATTCACCCGTCTGTTGTGATGATCCGTGTATCTGATATAGTGAGCGGCGCAACGGTGGAAAAATGTTCACTGTGCATGACGTCTTCGTCTTCTCCCACAGGGGCAGACGAGTGATAAATAAGATTTTACACCGAAGACCAAACTCATTTTAAGCGTGAAAAGTTTATCTTCAAGGTCGTCAAAGCGGCCGACCATCAAAAGCAGACTGAGGAAGTCACACTAGGATGCCTGGTACTTTAAGAGTAATGATTCCTTTACAAACATGAATCACCTGGTAAAAGGACACATCTCCCAAAGGAACGTGACAGGCCTAACTGACCACAGATTGAAAACCTTAACTGCTTGTGTGCTAAACTCGTGCGTTCAGTTGCTAATGTTTCTGAAGGAAAGGTGGGTCACTGACCTTACTAGTGCACTGTGTACCAGCTGTTTTTTATTGTGAATAATTCATCCATGCATATGTTTTATTATTATTTTTTTTTACATTTAAATTGACATTTAGTCATTTAGCAGATGCTTTTATCCAAAGCGACTTACTAATGAGGACAATAGAAGCAATCAAACCAACATAAGAGCAACAATGTGTAAGTGCTGTGACTAATGCAGTACACACACCATGTTTTTTAAAATAATAAATAAAAAGAAAACAAGTAGATAGAAGAGAAAAAGAATAGAGAATGCTAGTGTTCCCTAGTGAAAAATAAATATACTAAAATGTATTTATTTCATGCCAAGTATACCACAAATGCATTTACATATAAATTTACATGTACTTTTAGTATACTAAACTGGTATAGTTAAAGTCTGCTAAATTGGAACAACTAATTTTGTACTTAATCCACTTGAATTGTGCAGAAGTAGTGCTGAAGTCCAACTAAAGATATACTGAAGTATATTTGATTGCGCTAAAGTGGAACTATTGCAAGTATACTTCAGGTACACTTTAAATATCTCGCATTTAAAGACCAATATTTAAAGATCATACAGTCCTCATCAATAGTGACATTAAAATACATTCGTGGCATAATATTAAGAAATGTGCATTGTGCACAAGTAGTACTCCAAATAAAGTTTAATTATAATTTTTATATCAGTAAGTCTCGAGCGATGTCAGTATACTTATTATTAAATACATTTATTTTAAATATATTACATTTTTACTAGGGTTTGAGGGTCAATTTTTTTATAAATAAAAAGAATTATATAGAACAATTAGATAGAATAGAAATAAAATACAGAGTGTTAGTTTTAGAGGGTCAAGCGTTTTATAATAAATAAAAAGTGAACAAGTAGATAGAACAGAAATAGAATAGAGAGTGTTAGTCTGAGAGGGTCAAGTATAGATGGAAGAGATGTGTTTTTAACCATTTCTTGAAGATGGCTAAAGTCACAGCTGCTCGAATCGAGTTTGGCAGGTCATTCCACCAGCAGGGAACAATAGAAAAATAGATCTTTTTAAAAAATAAAAACGCATGCATGGATAAAACTTTTTAAGCTATAATTTGTCATAAAAATGTCATAATTCTATGTTTCATTGAAACAAGAGACCTACTATATTCTCTGTATACTATATAATCTATATACCATGTCATTATAAAAAGCTTTCTGAAATTTGACCATCCATTCAACAAATGACGGATAATCAGATAATTTTTTCGACACAATACGGAAAAAAAGATCTGTTGCTACTTCCACTTCTAATTTACACTGCAATTTTAATATGGGTAACACTTTATTTTTATAGTCAACTTTAGACATTCTGCTAACAGTAAGTAACTTTGCAACTACATGTCAACTAGCAGTCATTAGAGTATTAGCAGACTGTCTGCTTAATATCTTCTAACACTTTATTTTGATGGGTCCACGACATATACAACATACTGACTATGAGAAACTTTGCAAGTACTGTATATGCCAACTTATTCTACTAACCCTAAACCTAACCTAACAGTCTACTCTGAGAGTTAGTAGACACATAGTTGCAAATTAATGAGCATTAGTTGACATTTAGTTGCAAAGTTACTTATAGTTAGTAGCATGTCTAAAGTGGACTATCAAAATTAAGTGTAACCTTAATATGTCATGTCATAAATAATATAATTACATATTTCAAGATTTAATAAATTTAAGATTTAAATGAGACATACTGTATTTTTTGTTATATTTGTTATTTTTAAATATTAATTTTTAATATGAATTAGGAGGGAAAATCTCCTAAAAATCTAACAAAAACTAACTAAATACATAAAACTAAAAAATTATATTTATTAATAATTAGTGCTGTCAAACGATTAATCATGATTAATTGCATCCAAAATAAAAGTTTTTGTTTACATAATATATGTATGTGTATATTTATTATGTATATATAAATACACACATGCATGTATATATTTCAGAACATTTTTATATACTAAATATATTTATTTATAATATCAATTATATGAATATAAATATAGACATGTAAATACATATAAATATTTTCAAAATATATACATGCATGTGTGTGTATTTATATATACATAATAAATATACACAGAACACACACATATATTACGCAAACAAAAACGTTTATTTTGGAAGCGATTAATCGCGATTAATCGTTTGACAGCACTATTAATAATATATAATTAAAAATTATGATATGACTCGTTTATCTGTCTTTTTCATAATTGCCATGACTTTATTGACATCACAATAGCTTTTGTTTTACAATTGTTTTTCTTTCAGCCAAAAATAGCCATTACAGTTGGCACACAGTGTCCACCTTAACTACAGTTTTGTTGCATCAAAACAGTCCTGTTTATTTTTATTTATTTATTTTTTTTATTAATTTTTTTTCATTTAGGAATAATAGCATCTATATTACTTCTTCCTCAATACCTCCCAGTGACTGCTTATTTTTGCTGCATAATTTCAATTAATGCATTTTTGGTCTGCATAGAGTATAAATCAACCTCTTTTAATTGAAAGCAAATTTATTTCTCATGATATCTCAACTACCCTCACTCTTCCTCTCTATCTTGCGATCAGCGGCCAAAGCCAACGGTGATTTCCTCAACAAGCAACACCGCCACTTGGTCGAGTTGGCAGCTAAGGGAAGCCTGCCACTTCATCCAGTCAGAATGGAGCACGTGGAGCCCACAGCTTCCTACGTCACAGAGGTCCCGTGCCTCAAGCAAAATGGACAGAAGCCCAAGAGCATTAAACCCAATGTGGCCCATCCCGCAATGGCCTACAGCTCCAATACCATCGCAAACCCCGGCATGCTGAGGAGCTGGGAGGCTGCAGAGACTGCGGGCCGACGCAAAACCTACGGCCCTAGGAAGATGTGCACGGTGGAGCAGGTTAATGAGCTACACACTGCCCGCAGTCATCATTACCTTCCCACGCAACCCTACTTTGTAACCAACAGTAAGACAGAGGTGACTGTGTAAGAGGCTGAATACGTTTCGAAGCAAGCGGCAGAGAGCCAAAAGTGATTATCGTCATGAAAGGACTCTCCACACTCTGCCCCTAGTGGACTGGAGGCACAACAGGGGTGAGCATGTCATGTCAGCTGACAGTCAGGCCACTATTTATATCCACTGTAACAATGATGTGTTTGTGTTCCGTCAATGAAAAGGTAAAAGGAAACAGATGTAAAGAATTGGCACACAAAAAGTTTCAGATCAATAGCAATAAGATCTAATAAACGTGTACGAAAGAGACAGCTATGGAGAGATGAAACATTACAGAAATGAAACATACTGCATTATCGATCCCAGATATTAAAGGGCTGGCGTGGAGTATGAAACAGGTGGTTGATGCTCTTATCTGAAATAATATACAGAAATTTTGTCGGATGGGCTATTGATTTGATGAGGACAGAGTAAAAGACACTGGGTCTGAGGCTGTGCCTTTCGTTTTGTCATTATAAAGCACCTCGGTCAAGCAACTAAACAACTGATGCTTAAAATCTGGAGTATTAGCAGCGGTGGTCACATGTTGTAACAATGATGTGTTTGTGTTCCGTCAATGAAAAGTAAGAAGGAAACAGATGTAAAGAATTGGCACACGAAAAGTTTCAGATCAATAGCAATAAGATCTAATAAACGTGTACGAAAGAGACAGCTATGGAGAGATGAGACATTACAGAAATGAAACATACTGCATTATCGATCCCAGATATTAAAGGGCTGGCGTGGAGTATGAAACAGGTGGTTGATGCTCTTATCTGAAATAATATACAGAAATTTTGTCGGATGGGCTATTGATTTGATGAGGACAGAGTAAAAGACACTGGGTCTGAGGCTGTGCCTTTCGTTTTGTCATTATAAAGCACCTCGGTCAAGCAACTAAACAACTGATGCTTAAAATCTGGAGTATTAGCAGCGGTGGTCACATGTACTGAATATTTCATGCGAAGGTAGCATTGCCATGCCATGAGCAACACTGTTAAAGAACATGGAAGTTTGGGCACAACTTGTGTCTTTAGAAATACGTGTTTGGTCTCTTTTTGCGTACATTCGGCATTACTTTTTTACATGTACTCTTAAACGCATATGAGCATGTTGAAATATTTGTCAAAATGTCATCAGTAGGTGTATCTGCTGCCACGTGTACTGTAAGGTTTTTTGCACTTTTACAAATGTGTTGTGCGGAAGGTACATTTTATTTATTTCCCCCCCAAACAGATGCGACTTCTGATGAAAAAAGACCATAAAGTAGGCTATATGTATACCATTGCCAGTATATGTATGCAAATTATACAGTACATTGTGCCAAGAAGTAGCTGGTTGAAGTTGATGTGTTCAGCATTATTTATTTAAATATATTTCTTTATTTTCTGTATTTGAGAGAAAATGTTTCTGTTGCAACATCATCTAATGGAGTGGTAGTTCTGGAGATGAAGATGTACTTTAAACTGGAATAAAATTATCTTTTTCTTTCCTCATTCTCTTCATTTTTATTTTTCCTCTTCCATTGCTGTCTCTGATGCTAACAGGATGTTGCATTGTGAGGTTTTCGTAAACAGGTCGATGAACTTTGTTGTATCCAATTGAGTTAATTCAGCAATGCGTAAACCTGGAAATATCAACCCAAAGAACTTGACCCGCTCCTGCACTTCCGTCTGATTGCAGAGGAACCAGATCATGTGGAATAACTCTAGTCTAGGACAGATCCTGTCAGCCTCGCTGTCTGTTAAAATTTATCTATTCCACGCTTATTTTGTTGTATATAGTGTGCATTAGCAGTAAGCAGTTCCATAACTGCTTGTTCGTGCATCATGAAATCTAATAGCACCTTTGCAGATTTATTCACGGTAGTTTTATTTTTTCATTCTTTTCCATCATGCATTAAAGCTGAAATAAAGAGAAGCATGTGAATAAATGAAGTATAGAGTATAACTATACACTGAAAAGCATTTAAACATCCCATAACACACTCTCTCTTGCCAAATTCTGAGGTCCATCAAAGGCTGTTGTGGTGTTTTGTTAGAAATAGCCAGGGAACAGGCAGGCAAGTCTTTCATCTGCTGCAATTCCGAGGAAGTCCCAGATGAGGAGCAGGGAAGGAAAGGCCTCTGATTGATTTGATTCAGGCACTTTGTGCAAGAATAAGTCAGCTAATCCAATCCTCAGCTGCACGCATTCACCTCTGAACAGGTGCCTGGAAACAGCCAGCGATTGAATGAGCCTGTTTCTGTGGGGGCCTTGTTGAGCTGCCAGAAATCAAAGTTCTGCTTGGTGAATTAAGATCGAGGGTGCGAGTGACCTAGTTAACCGAATCAGCACCGTCCTGTTCGGCATACAGGCACAAAGTATTAGGAGAGCGGGTGGTCGATTGCATTTGTTTGCTGGGGTCTCAGGCTGAGCCTTGCATTTTTCCATGGCTTTAACTGGACAGAAACAGATATTATTCTAAAGAAAACTTACTGTATATGGCTTATCTGGCTCTATGTATAGGATGTACAGTATTGTCATGTATTCCAGGTTACCCCATCACATGAATTAAACATTACACAAAACCAGTGACTAGTAGCCTATATATTTATCTTTTTTATTATTTAAAATTTTATCAAATTATATCAACATAAAGTAAAAAAGTGCAAGATTTACCTGTATTCATTTAGTAAAGTGACTTATAATGAGGAATGTTAAAACATAAAAAAGGAGAAAAATATATGTGCTGAATTCGTGTATCATTTGTTCATTCGTTTTTTTTATTTAATATTGAAAGTGGAAAAATTAGAAAACAGTTCCTTTTACGAGAATATTCAATTTCTACAATTGGTCGGAAATTAAATGCCCCTTTCTGCTGATTGGTGAGCCGAAGATCAAACCGTGCCGTCATCAGGGCTGCGTTCAGCCCCGGCAAAACGGTGCAAAACGTTTTTTAAACGGAAACGGTGGTGCGTTGAACACACTGTTCTGATGACGCAAGAGTTGCAACTATGGCAGCTGAGAAGGCCATTCTTTGTGTTCTTTTTGAAGAATTTTCAGAGCCTGATGAAATTGGTATAAATACGTGTTTAATACTGCAAAATACGCTCGATGGTACAGTCACTGCCCTTGCCCTCCAGAATAAAAGAGAACATCCCAATCGAGTGAAGGGATTTGTGGAAACTGTGGTTCCTAATATTGTGATCCAACATTTGCCTCGCATTTCAGGATGAAAAGACAAACATTTTTAAGGTGAAGGATAATCCACTTTTTACCTCCGAGACTGTGTTATGATCTATAGACCTTATTATTTTTATTGTGAGTATTAGGCTTATCATTATTGCTGATCACTGTTGTTGTGCTATGATATTGTAATATTTACCATTACATAATCAGAGGGGTATAGAAAAGTTTATGAAAGTGTCACTCCACAATACAATAGCAAAATATATAAATATGTATAGTATTTTTATGTTACATTAATCAGTGTCTAGCACACCTTCCTAGTAGTAATGTAGTAAAACGCAGATATTAAAAGGCAAAATTCAGTAAACACCTTATTGATGATGTATATTTTGTACAGGCAAGCAGATGAACCCAGAATATAAACACAATGTGCTTAGTTTCACATTAAATGGTTTCCCATAGAAAACCATTATAAGGAAAACTGATCCATTAAGCAGATTGCGTTCATATTCCGGCCTCATCTGCTTGCCTATGTAAACTATGCATCATTAATATGGAGATTACTGAATTTGATCTTTTAATATTACTGTTTTAAATATATTAAGGCACTTTAAGTGTTTTTACAACGTTTACAACGTTTTGTCGCACTGTTTAATGATTGAAATATTGCCGCGGGTGCTTAAAATGGATTGCAAATGGCCAAAACTTGCATTTTGTTCACATACTTTGTTTTATTCTTTTGAGAGGTGATCTAAATATTAGCGGCTGGGAAACAGATGGAAAATTGACAGGCTTGTGCTGCAGTTCTATGGATATTTTGCCCTCCAAGTCGTCGAGCCAGTCACGTGACTGAAAGCTATGTCCTCCACTGCTGTAGTTGTTCGGATTCTTAACGCATTTATTGCAACAACATTTCCTCTTTTTTCATCAAACAAACAGACTAATGAATAGCTCAACACAACTCGTGTTGAGTGGCAGAGTGTACACAGGGCTTTCTTCTGTGTAGACCAGCTGTTCTTAAAGTGATAGGGGGTCCGCGAAATAATTTGCTATAGCCTA